CCCCCCACCACAGGGACAGGGCTCCCAGCCCCCCCCACCGGGACAAGGCTCCCCTTCCCCCTCCTTTGCCCCCCCCACCACAGGGACAGGGCTCCCAGCCCCCCCCACCGGGACAAGGCTCCCCTTCCCCCTCCTTTGCCCCCCCCACCACGGGGACAGGGCTCCCCACCCTCCTCCCCAGGGCCCCCCCAGCACAGGGATAGGGCTCACAGCCCACCCCCCCACAGGGACAAGGCTCCCCTGCCCCCCCCAGCACGGGGACAGGGCTCCCCATCCCCCTCCCCAGAGCCCCCCCAGCACAGGGGCAGGGCTCCCCATCCCTCTCCCCAGGGCCCCCCCAGCACAGGGGCAGGGCTCTCCCAGCCCGCCTTCCGCCGTAGGGAGCCTCTTTGGGCCTGCAGTTCCCTAGCAACTGCGCCCCCCAGCAGGGGACTCTGTAGTCTGCCTGGCAACAACCTAGTCGCCTTTCTGATTGGCCAACTCCTACCGCCCCGTATAGGTGAGGCTCTAATTCGTATTGGTTGGAATCCCAGGCTGCGCTGTGATTGGCTCAGGCCGATGGAGCGGGCGGGAGGAGGTCGTGCGGTGGAAAACCGCCTGGCGGATTCTTTAGCCGGCGCTCCGAGTGGAGGGATACATCTCACGTCGCTGTAATTTTACATGACGTAACATCGTCGCGCGCAGCCGTATACCCATCCGCGCCGGAACTGATTTCGGGATGCGGGAGAGGTTGGTCCGCGCTCGGCGCGGTGGGGGAGAAGAGGCAAGTGATTGGCACGGGCGCTCAGCCAATGAGGAGGCGCGTCTGGTGCGGACCCTGTGGCGATTGGCCTGCAGCGGCGCTGCCTCACCAATGGGATGGGAGGTTGGTACAGGGGGGGACCGTTTTCTCTTCCCTTCTTCCTAGTCGCTGCGGGGCCTGGCGGAGCGAGCGCCGCGCGCCGGCTGAGGTGAGGCGAGGCGAGGCCGCGGGGCGGTAGTGCGGGGGGCGCCGCCGGGCCCGGTACCTCCGGCTGCGGCCGGGCCGCGCCTGTGAGGCGGCCGGAAGCGGGCGGCCGGGCTTGGCGCGCGCGGGCGGGCGGCTCGCGGGGCGGGGCCGGGCCGGGCCGGGCTCGGCGGGGCTCGCCTGGCGCGTGTTCACGGGTTCCGCTCCCCCCAGGTTGTGCGGGGCCGGGCCCGAGCGGGAACATGGCCGCGGAGCCGGAGAGCCCGAACCCCAGCGCCCGCATCATGACGTTCCGCCCCAGCGCCGAGCAGTTCCGGGACTTCAGCCGCTACGTCGCCTACATCGAGTCCCAGGGCGCCCACCGGGCCGGGCTCGCCAAGGTGAGCGGCGGGCCGGGCCCGGACCAGCCAGCGGAGCGGAGCGGTGCCCGCGGCTCTGCGGGAAAGCTCGCAGCTCCAGGCTCGCGTACCCCTCTGGGGACGCGGGTGTCACGGCACCTGCCCTCCACACGGCGTTATCGCACTTGTCAGGACTGGGTCCAAGAAAGGCCAAAGTAGGACAGGTCTGGAAAGGCTACGGCGTAGCTTTTCTATCTGCCTCGCTTACTCCGATCCCATTCACCTAGACACTTCTGTACACGAGTAGTACCACTTACTACTCGTGTGTGGAAACGTAAGCGTGTGCCAGCTCCGAAACCTGCCAATGCTGATTGTCGGCGATGCTAAGCACCCGGAATTCCATGGGAAGTGAATGGAGGCTGTGGGAGCTCAACATGTCCAAAGCTCGGGCCCTTATTCACTACCATGCCATGGACCGAAGGTAGCACAAAGACAAGGCGTGGGAGGTAATATCTTTTATTGGACCAACTCCTGTTGGTCAGAGACAAGCTTTCGAGCTTACGCAGAGCTCTTCTTCTGTTGTCTGTAGCTCTGTGGAAGTTCAAAAGCTTGTCTCACCAACAGAAGTTGGTCCAATAAAAGATATCGCCTCACCCACCTTGGCTCTAATATTCTGGGACAGACACAACTACATCAACACTGTATACAAGAAGGTAGTGTAGTTTGATGGACCAAACTTTGTAGTTCTTGCTCACAAACCATAATTAAAAGTAATTCTAAGAAGTTTGACATCCTCCTGCTCCTGTTGCATTCGTTCCTTGCTGAACGTTGCTGACTGAATACTCATTGTCCTCAAGATAAAGCTCCTCTCGTAGGCAGGGTTTTCTGTGCAGAATGAATTTTATGTGCACCAATATGGAGGTGCAACAGAGGGTCCTGTGGCACCTTTAAGACTGTTAGTCTTAAAAACCCTCTGTTGCTTTTTACAGATTCAGACTAACACGGCTACCCCTCTGATACTTGACTATATGGAGGTGGTGTGTGACTTTCTTATTGGTGCACAAAACAAAATTAATATGGTGGGGGTGGGCTGAGGGGTTTGGAGTGTGGGAGGGGGCTCAGGGCTGGGGCTGAGGGGTTTGGAGTGTGGGAGGGGGCTCAGGGCTGGGGCAGAGGGTTGGGGGGATGAGGGCTTTGGATGGGGGTGTAGGCTCTAGGGTGTGGCTGAGGATGAGAGGTTCAGGGTGCGGGAGGGACTCTGGGATGGGGCAGAGTGTTGGGTGTGTGGGGATGCGGGCTCTGGGGTGGGACCAGGGCTGAGGGGTTTGGGGTGGGGAGGGACTCGGGTTGGGGCAGAGGGTTGGGTGTAGGGGGTGAAGGCTCCGGGGTTAGGCCAGGGATGAGGGTTTGGAGTGCAGGAGGGGGCAGACGGTTGGGGTGTGTGGGCTGTGGGGCTGAGGATGAGGGGGTTGGGGTGTAGGCTGCAGTGGGGAGAGAGGACTCCTTCCCAACCCTCTCTCGCTGCAGCAGCTCGGGTCCGGGGAAGAGGCGCCTCTCCCCGGCAGGACTGGGCCAGGCCGAGGAAGAGGCTCCTCCCCAGCTGGCCATGGCAAGTCTGGGGCAGATCCACTGTGGGGAGGGGCACTCCTCCCCGCCGGCAGCAGGTCCGCGCTGGGGCTGGTGGGGAGGGGCACCTTTCCCCGCCACAACCCTGAGCCTTTGTGCGGGGCTTAATAGTCAGCTGCGCAGCTTAGAGGGAACTTAGCTCATGGGCTGAATTTCTACGTTTTCTGATCTTTGCCTTTTATTCTGTGAACCATCAGGTAATTCCCCCAAAGGAGTGGAAACCACGAACATGCTATGATGATATTGATGAACTGGTCATCCCGGCTCCAATTCAGCAGGTGGTGACTGGACAATCTGGCCTCTTCACACAGTATAACATCCAGAAGAAGGCTATGACTGTCCGGGAATTTAGAAGAATTGCAAATAGTGACAAGTAAGAGTGTTTGTGCCTGCAGTTTCTTACATCTGTGGGGCTTTTGCATCAGTTACCATCACACAGCTTTTTCTCTATTTAGTGTATAGTTAAATGGATTCTCTTGGGTAGAGGTATGTAGCTTAAAGAAAATTTCAATGATAACAAAATTTTCTTTAAAATGACAATGCAAAAATGACACATTAATTAACAGATCTGTCCTGCTACACTTTACTTCTGTTAGTCCTGAAGACAGTGGAATTGCACAAGGGTCGACGTGAGCATGATTTGGCCTGGAGAACCTTTATTACATAAGAATGAGCATGCTGGGTCAGACCAATGGCCCAGCATGCTGACTCTGACATAGGGCAATGCCAGATGCTTCAGAGGGAATGAACAGAACAGGGCAGTTATCAAGTGATCCATCTCCTGTCGTCCGGTCCCAGCTTCTGGAAGTCAGAGGTTTAGGGACACCTGGAGCCTGACCATCTTGGCTAATTGCCATTGGTGGACAGTGTCCTCCATGAACTTGTCTGATTCCTTTTTTTTTTTAAGCCAGTTATACTTTTGGCTTTCACAACATCCCCTAGCAACAAGTTCCACAGGTTGACTGTGTGTTATGTGAAGAAAGAATTCCTTATGTTTACTAGGCAGCAGGTTTAAAACAATTTGATTGGGTAATCTTTGGTTCTTGTATTACGTGAAGGGGTAAATACCACTACTTTATTCACTTTCTCCATACTAGTCATGATTTTATAGACCTATATCAGGTCCCCCCGCGCCCCAAGTCATCTTTTTGTAAGCTGAACAGTTCCAGTCTTTTTAATCTTTTCTTGTATGGAAACCATTCCATACCTCTAATCATTTTAGTTGCCAATTTGTGTACCTTCAATTCTAATCTATCTTTTTTTGAGATGGGACAACCAGAACTGCACAAAGTATTCGAGATGTAGGCATACCATGGATTTATATAGTGGCATTATATGTTCTGTTTTATCTCTCTCTTTCCTAAAGATTCCTAACATTGTTAGCTTTTTTGACTGCCACTGTACATTGAGTAGATGATTTCAGAAAACAATCCATGATGACTCCCAAGATTTCTTTCTTCGGTGGTAACAGCTAATCGTCCCTCTTCATTTTGTATGTATAGTTGGGATTATGTTTTCCCATGTGCATTACTTTGCCCTTATCAACTTTGAATTTCATCTTCTATCTTGTTGCCCGGCTACCCAGATTTGTGAAATCCCTTGGTAACGCTCTGTAGTCTGCTTTTAACTTAACCATCCTGACTTATTTGTGTATTGGCTGCAAACTTTGCCGCTTCATTGTTTGCTCCATTGTTTTCCAGATCATTTACGAATATGTTGAACAGCACAGGTTCCAGTATGGATCCTTGGGGGACCCTGCTATTTACCTCTCCATTTGGAAAATTGGCCATTTATTCCTATCCTTTGTTTCCTGTCTTTTAACCAGTTACTGATCCATGAAAGGGCCATCCCTCTTATCCCATGATTGTTGAGTTTGCTTACGAACCTTTGATGTGAGACTTTGACAAAAAGACTTTCTGAAAGTCCAACTGTATTATACCTACTGGATCACCATTGTCCACATGTTTGTTGTTTCCCTTCCCCCCCCCCCCCCCCAACTAATTCTAATAGACTGGTGAGGTATGATTTCCCTTTACAAAATTTGTGGTGACTCTTCCCTGACACATTGTGTTCATCTATGTGTCTGATAATTCTGTTCTTCGTTATAATTTCTACCAATTTGCCCAGTACTGAAGTTAGGCTTAATGACCTGTAACTGCCAGGATCACCTCTGGACCCTTTTTAACAAATTGGTATTATGTTAGCTCTCCGCCAGTCATCTGGTACAGAAGCTGATTTAAGTAATAGGTTACATACCACAGTCAGTAGTTCTGCAGTTTCATATACGAGTTCCTTCAGAACTCTTCAGTGAATATCATCTGGTCCTGGTGATCTGTTACTGTTCAATTTAACAGTTTGTTCCAAAACCGTCTCTGCTGACATCTCAATCTAGAACAATTCCTCAGAGTTGACACCTAAAAAGAATGGCTCAGGTGTGGGCATCTCCTTCACATCCTGTGCAGTGAAGACCAATACAGAGAATTCAGGTAGTTTCTCTTCAACTGCCTTGTCTTTCTTGAGTGCTGCTGTAGCACCTTGATTGTCCAGTGGCCTCAGTGATTGTTTGGCAGGCTTCCTGCTTCTGATGCACTTAACATATTTTGTTCTTTGCTGTTAGTTGTTGTCTTTTAACATAAGAACGACCATACTGGGTCAGCCCGAAGGTCCATCTAGCCCAGTATCCTGTCTTCTGACAGTGGCCAATGTCAGGTGCTTCAGAGGGAATGAACAGAACAGGTAATCATTGGGTGATCCATCCCCTAATATATGGAGATATACCTATCTCATAGAACTGGAAGGGACCCTGAAAGGTCATTGAGTCCAGCCCCCTGCCTTCACTAGTGGGACCAAGTACTGATTTGCCCCAGATCCCTCTAAGTGGCCCCCTCAAGGATTGAACTCACAACCCTGGGTTTAGCAGGCCGATGCTCAAACCCTGTCGCTCATTCCCAGCTTCTGGCAAACGGAGGCTAGGGATACCATCCTGACTAATAGCCATTGATGGACCTATCCTCCATGAATTTATATAGTTCTTTTTTTTAACCCTTTTTTGCTATATGCTCTTCAAAGTCTTTTTTGACCTGCCCAATTATATTCCATAGTTTATGGTCCTTTCTACTTTTCTTCAGTAGGATTTGATTTCCAGTTTTTAAAAGGATGCTTTTTTGCCTATAACTGCCTGTTTTACTCTGTTTAGCTGTGGTGGCATTTTTTGGTCCTCTGACTTTATTTTTTTAAACTGATGTACAAGAAGGAAAGGATGGAAATTTACCTGAAGTCCCTACATAGAGTTTAAGGCCAGAAGAGACCCCACCAGATCATCTAGTAGGATACCAACTCCACCCAGCACTTGCTCACCAAACCCAACAACCGAAATTACAAGTAGTTTGCAGGGCTGGAAATTAGGAACAAATGGTTCTTCATGATTAACTGAGCACCCTTGACCTAGAGTTATTGAAAGACCACAAATTTGGAACCCAACAATGCTGTTTTTATAGTCACTTACTCATAAAAATGAATTTAACCATTTTATTGCAGCGTTTGAAACCCCAAACGTTGCATTGCTACACTAGTTCCTGAGACCCAGAAAGTAAAATTCTCATTAGTTTCCATTGTTCTAGCTGAGAGAAATGTGAAAAGTAAACTAGACTTACATGCTACCACTACTTTACGAAATAAATGTAATAGTTAGTAAATTAACTTTTTAAAAAGATATTATTCCCTCACAAGATGTGGCTTGAGGACTAAAGAAGGAACTAATTAAATGCTCATTATTCCATTTTGTACAGTGCAGGTTGTTCCTTTAAACAGTAAAGGATAAACTATATGCTTTGCAAAACTTGTAACTTGCTGTGGGAGTTATGCTGGGGATTAGTATTTCAGTAGCACCTACAGATCCTAACTAAGGTAGAGGTCCCATTTTGCCAGACACCGTACAAAGAGCGGGCGAGGAAACACAGGCACAGAAGTGAAGTGAGTTGCCCTCTGTCACACAACAGGTTATGGCAGAGCAGGAAATAGAGGCTGGGTCCCCTGACTCCCCAGTCCAGTGCCCTAGCTATTAGGAGATACTCTAGATGTGCCTCTTTATTCTTTCATTAACCTTTTGAATATAGCCTTCTATCTGCTTTCTTAATTCTGTGCTGTTGCTCTAAACTCTAATGTATTGAGTTGCAGAGTTTTTATTGATTAAATGAGTTGATGAAACGGCTTTTTTTTTTTTTTAAGGTACTGCACACCCCGATATACTGACTTTGAGGACCTTGAGCGGAAATACTGGAAGAACCTCACTTTCAATGCCCCCATCTATGGTGCTGATGTTAATGGCACACTCTATGAGAAGGTGAAGGAAAATGCTTTGTCTTCTAGTAACATAATCATCCTTGTGAATCTTGATAGGGTTTATCATGTAAACTCTCTGCCCTGGAATTCAGCTCTGCAAAGTTTCAGAGGTATTTAATGGAGTTCATAGCAAACGTCTATCTTCTGAAATATATTACCTGGGAGATGCGATCTAACATATTTGTCATTTAACCAAAATTGTTGAGGCTGACTATAAGCCACATCATTGAGAGTATTTGTGTTTATCCATTCATTAGTGCTTCATTGTAATACAGTTGGAAACTCATGGGAGCCAAAATTAATTAAAAATATAAATATAGGTAAGGCACAAAGCTGACTTAATGGTGCTAATATACTTACGAATATAAATGAGCCTGAAATGGAGACTAGCAGGGAACACGTATCGCCTACGTATCCTGCTGTTGTACACAGTTCTGTGGGGGGCTCTTTGTAGTTTGATAACTTAATTGTGGGGTGACTTACCCTGATAGCTGTGATGTGCTGATAACCATCAGAACTGAGCGCATAATCTTGCAGCCACGTTTTGCCTGTAAGAGTTTTAGACTAGAACAGTAGTTTTCAAACTGTGGACCTCTGGGAGTCTGCAAACTGTTTAAGGGCTGGTCTACACTGGGGTGGGGGGGAAATTGATCCAAGATATGCAACTTCAGCTACGCAAATAGCGTAGCTGAAGTGGAAGTATCTTGGATCGAATTACCTGGGGTCTAGACGGCGCGGGATCGACGGCCGCGGCTCCCCCGTCGACTGCGCTACTGCCGCTTGCTCTGGTGGAGTTCTGGAGTCGATGGTGAGCGCGTTCAGGGATTGATATATCGCGTCTCATTAAGACGCGATATATCGATCCCGGATAAATCGATTGCTACCCGCCGATACGGCGGGTAGTGAAGACATACCCTAAGATTTCCAAAGAGGAGCGTACCTCCATGCAAAAATTTGTATGGGTCTATTCGTGTTTTTTAACAGGGGTTTGGAAGGAAACACAGTGGTAGGAAGGAAAACATGACAGTCCTGGACGCTGAAGTCCTCTTCACATTGGACAGGACCAGTGTAGTGGGTGGTGGTGCGTGCTTTCTACACCTGTCCTGCGAGTCTGTGTGGCTCACCCTGAAGTGTTTGTCTCTAGAGCAGGGGTAGGCAAACTATGGCCTGTGGGCCAGATCCGGCCCATCAGGGCTTTGGATCCAGCCCACGGAATTGCCACCCCCGTGGTGCCGCGGGCCCTGCGCTGCTTCCAGAAGTGGCCGGCACCACGTCCCTGCGGCCCCTCGGGGAGGGAGGAGCAGAGGGCTCTGAGCACCGCCTTTGCCTGCAGCTACCTCCCCCAAAGCTCCCACTGGCTGGGAATGGGGAGCCTGCCTGAGCCCCAATGTGCGCCGCTACCACCCTGGAGCCGCTCCAGGTAAGCGGCACCAGGCCAGAGCCTGAACCCTCCAGCACTCCAATCCCTTGCCCTGAGCCCCCTGCTGCACCCTGCACCCCTCCTGTATTCCAACCCCCTGTCCTGAGCCCCCTGCCGCACCTCGCACCCCTCCTACACCCCAACTTCCTGCCCATAGCCCCCTGTCGTACTCCGCACCCCCCTGCACCCCAGCCTTCTGCTCTGAGCCCCCTTGTGCACCCTGCACCCCTATTCTGCCCCAACCTATTGCCCTGAGCCCCTTCCTGCACACTGCACCCCCTCCCACACTCCAATCCCCTGCCCCAGCCCTACATTCATGGCCCTGCATGCGATTTCCACACCCAGATTGCCCACCGCTGCTCTAGAGGCTAGGGGATTTCAGACTCATGTCACGCACATCCCTCTTTGTTTTCTGGCCTTTATGCTGAGATGTTAATGTGGAGTGTGATTAGTAGCAGTTAAACACAGGCTAATGGAAAATGAGACTTGTATTTAAAAAGGGGAGGGGGGTCACTGGGAGGTGAAGACTTCAGATTGCTCAGCAAAACTGAAAAACAAATCTCTGTCCCAAAGTACAGAGTGATGTAGGGGCGAGTGTTACATAACTGATGTCTTGTTAACATGTTGCCTTCCTTGCTGATTCTTGCTTAATATGAGCTCCGTGTTTTGCAGCATGTACATGAGTGGAATATTGGCAGGTTGAACACAATCCTGGACGTAGTGGAGAATGAAAGTGGCATAACCATTGAAGGAGTGAATACCCCTTACCTCTACTTCGGCATGTGGAAAACCTCCTTTGCCTGGCATACTGAGGACATGGACCTCTATAGTATTAATTACTTGCACTTTGGAGAACCCAAGTCATGGTAAGGTTTCTTGGAGCAACCTCCAATAGTTTATGGTATTCTCTCTCTAGTAAATCTTGGAGTCCCTCAATAAATGAGGAGGGACAGATGGACAAACAAGGGATAGAGATTACTAGGAAAATAGTGGGGGGTGTTTCCTCCGTCTCCTCAGGCTACTGCTCCTTTACTCCCCAGGAATTCTATGCCACTGCGCATGCGCATAATTCATGTCCCCCCCAGATTTCTTTGCTTCCCTGCAGAAAAAATTACTTCTGACGGGGAAGCCAAGGGAAGCTGCAAGAGTGGTCATGTGCCCCTCACTGGCAGTGTAGGTGCGTCGTTTCATGCAACCACAGCAGCTAGTGGAGAGGTAAATCACCACCGGGAGGTGCAGGGCTGGGGACACCCTGGCCGGTGGCTTGTACCCTGCGCCAGGCTCAGCTCTAATCCTGGCTTGGGTGGGGACAGAAGAGGATGGGACTTCCTCTTCCTCTGCAAGGAGTGGCCAGGGCCGGGAAACTCCCACCACCAGAAACCTCCCCCAGCTGCAGGAAGCTTTGTACCCTCCCGCTTCTTGCCACTATCGCTCCTCGGCCACGGAGGGAGGGGTCATTGTACAGAGAATACAAGAACTAGGGGTTCCATAATACAAGAACTAGGGGTCACCAAATGAAATTAATAGGCAGCAGATTTATAACAAATACACCCCCACCCTTCCCTTGCATCCAGACCCCTGCTAAGCCCCCTGCGCTTGAACTCCCCACCCCACTGAACCCCAACCCAGTTGCACCCAGACTTCTATCCCACCAAGCACCACTCCCCCACCACCTAGACTCACCCTGCCAAGTCCCAACCGCCTTCACCTGGATACCCCTGCAGAGTCCCATTCCCCTGCACACACCCCCATGAGTCCCTGTGCATCCAGATTCCCCAGACCGCTCACCGAGCCCCTGTGCATCCAGATTGCCCCAACAGAATCCTCTCATCCCACACCTGGATCCCCCCCACACTAAGTCCCTCCACACTTGGATCCTGCCAGGAGGAGCCTGCCCACCCCACACCTGGATCGGGGGCCAGGGCTGGGCATGCGTGTGAGACTCTGTCCCTCTTGCTTTGTATCTTGGTGCGCCTAGTGTATAGACATGTAGCACCAGTAGTGTGGGAACAGAAGGATGAGAACTATTGAGCTAAATTATACTAGACCTACCAGAAAAGCCTCTCACCTAGGTATTTTTAAGGTCATTGATGAAAAGAGTTAATTGTGTTGCACCTTAGAACTTGATTGCAGTTGGATGTTAGGTGACCAATGAATGGTGGAAATTCTCGGTACTTAGTGTTATTGTTTCAGTCTGGGGCAATTAATTATGGCAGCAAGAAGGGTTAGAAACTGTTTCGGGGGGGAAAAACAAAGTGTAGAGTACATAAAAGGAATATGCAGGGAGACCCTCAAATCCTTAAAGTGCAAAGCTTGTGTGAGTGCTTTATCTTCTTAACCCCTTCCACACTAGTACTATGTTCACTAATGTAGTTCAAACTTCTCCCTCTTTGTTATGCCTTTGGCTGCACAAACATGCTGTGAATTCAAGTACTTCAGAGACTTCTCCCCAGACTTTTGCATAAGCAAACAAGAGATTTGATATTTTAGTGGAACTGCTGACCAATTATTGGGTTATTTTAAGCAGAATGCAATAGCAACCTGTGCTTGATAGAAGTTGTAGTAAGAGTGTTTTATCAAACTAAGCAAATGTGCAGTGAGAAGAATTAAATAAAGCGAAGCCTGATGGATAGACAGTTAAACTGCCCAGCCTATTGTAATCCTCAACAGCGAGCGGGATTTTAAATTCCCCTTGTTGTAAGTTAAAAGGGTGCCGGGTCATCCTGACCTAAATGCTTTTCTTCTGTATTTGGAGGTTTCCAATGTCTCGCAATGCAGAGCCCTCTCACACTGGAGGAACTGTGCATTTCCAGCACAGGGCTACGGGAGAGTAGGGGAGCACTCTTTGATAGGAGTGCTTAGAGTGTATGGTTAGGAATGCCTTAGAAAGAATGGAGTCCTTAGGGTCGCAGTTTGGTACCCTTGTCAACCATGGCATTTTCTGTAGTGCAGACACAGCATTGGAGCTGGATACTATTCAGTGACGGATATCTGCCAGGAAGGGCACCTATAGCAGAGGTGAAATTAAACATTGCTCTTTTTCTCTGTTTAGTATGAATCCAGGTGGGAAACTGGCTTTTCCAGTGGGGGAGAATAGACTATGAAGGGGGGTCCTCTGGGAGACCCATGGGCTCCCTTGTATTACCCGTGTTTCAAACAATGTTCTCTTCCAGCAATCTGTCTGCAACTAACAGGAAGTTCAAATGCCAATTTGAACTATCAGGTACATTTCCCAACTTGTTCCTGTTGGAAACTCAAACAGCTGCTTTCCAGGCTGTTGAAGAGACAGAAATAGATGGAGTTTTCCTGTATGTAACCTGTCAAATCAATACTATGTCACTGGCCTAACCGATCATTTCCCCAGTAATTCTCTTGTCTGTCCTTGGAGAAAAGAGACAATTGAGTGAGCTAATATAGGTTGGTGGGATAAATAGGCAATCTACATCTTGCTGACTGTTCTATATTTGAAGTTGTAAGTGGTTTTTTTTTTTTTTTTTAAAGAACCAAACTCTTTCTTGTCCCCTTTTTTACTGGTTTGCTCTCGTGACTGCAGGTATTCCATCCCTCCAGAGCATGGGAAGCGACTGGAGCGACTTGCCAAAGGTAATCATTCAGTTCTTCTCTGTCCTGATCCTACACTCTGCCTCTTACATGGGGTGGGGGGATAATTACGATGGGCTTCAGATCTCTGTCAGACTGTAACATGCTTACTGTATTCATGTGGGTGTGGACCATAGTTCTGTATGTGGTGATACAATTGTTTTCATAACTTGTCACTCGATAATATGGGATTATTTTTGTGTGTTTCTTTCTATAAGAGGAACACTCTAGACAAAAATGTTTTATAAATTAAAACTAAGGCTATAAAAACTGTACTTACTCCACTGTCCATGTTCAAGTTTTTGCCCTTAATTTAGCTTGCACTATGGAATTAGACTGGTTATTCTTGCGTTCTGCATGATGCACGGCCGTGCTGTTGCTTATGGGTTTTACATACAAGATTATAATTAAATCCCCGTGAGCTGTCTTCATTGACTCTTACTAAAATTTCAACACCTGGTCTGTTCATATTGTTTTTGTTGAACTTCTTTAAAAGGCTGCATTTTGAACATAAACTACTTGGTTGCCATGTATTAAAATCTTATTTAACTTTCCAAAATAGGAAATTACCCATCCGTTGCTGTCACTTGAATTTGCTTAAAAGGCAAGAAAAGACTATGCAGACGGTCTTTGCTCTTTTGATAAAGGTTTCTGTTGACTTGGGGAAGGTAACTGCACCCTATCCCCTATATTGTACAGAAGGCCTCTTTAAGACCTGCAGCTATATCTGCTTAAGTCACCAATCTGTTTTCTGACCATGTCTTCCTTACATAGTACAGTCCAGAATGGAATACACCTATTCTAGGCCAGAGACAACATACTTTGTGTGGGCAGTAACTTTCCTACTAGAGTACTGATTAACTAACTTACTCTTTCTCGATTGCAGCAGCAGAGTGTTCAACATCTCTCCATACCTTTCTTTAAACAGGCTTCTTTCCAGGAAGTGCCCAGAGTTGTGAAGCTTTTCTCCGTCACAAGATGACCCTCATCTCTCCATTGATATTGAAGAAATATGGCATCCCATTTGATAAGGTGAAGGGAGAAGGCCTGAGATACTTTGAAGTACAGCAAATTCAGTCAAAGGATTCCCAGAATGTCTGCTGGGTGGCAGGGTGGGGATTTCTGAGGAGGGCAGATGGGAAGGGATTTTTTTTTTTTCTTTTAAGCTAATTGGCAAAAGAAAACTTTTAAAACGTAAATTCTTATGATGCACATGTGGCTAGGACTTCTAGAAGCATGCACTCTAACCTGTATCTTCTGTGGTTTTGGGGTGTCTGACCTTGTCTGTTTATGCAGATGAATTGCTGAGGACCTGTGTTTTGCCAACAGTTTTCTGCTTTATATTTAGTACTGTGCTATCTTGAGACTAGTTTTGAACTGTAGTTCATTACACTGCAATAAGGGACCTGAGTAGGGCATGAATCTATTTGCTTGCCTGGCCAGTATAGTTTGAAATAAACATTCTAAGTCATTTTGTCTTCACTGCAATTTCACCAGCTACCGCTGAGTGAGTCTCTCTAGCATGGTAAGGAAACAGTGAAAATTCTTCCATAAGAGGAGAGAATGAGACTCAGGAGAATGAGAACTGTTTTTTGTGAACCAAGTAACAGTCTGTGTGGACTTCCCTTCTTTTAGGTGACACAGGAAGCTGGAGAATTCATGATAACATTCCCTTATGGTTATCATGCTGGCTTTAATCATGGGTTTAATTGTGCTGAATCTACCAACTTTGCTACTCTTCGGTGGATTGAATATGGAAAGCAGTCTGTGTTAGTAAGTGGTCTACTGTTCCTTTTTTTTTTTTTTAATTGCATATGAAAAAAAATCCACTTTGGTGTATTTTTGACAGCCGATTCTTTGACTGATGCTCTAGAACAAACCATTGTTTCTGTCTAATATAACTACAGGCAGCAGAGTCAAATGAGCCTCTTATCTAGTGGTTTGGTGCCCATTTAGACTCTGGGCAGCAAATAATGGAACATCAATCTCTTCCCCTGGATATATCAGATCGGCTCATGTTAAGGGTTTAGAGCATAATAGGTTAAACTATAACTGCTGTGTAAGGCTGAGGAGGTACTGGAAGGGTGCACATTATGGCATGGTCTTAAGCCTAGTCTAAACAGTTTTTGTACCAACTGTAGCTATTTCTCTTAGAGATGTGGTTTTTGTTCTGAGGTAATTAAATTGGCACAACCCCTAGTGGGACATTATATCATTATAAAGGTGCCTTATACTAGTATAACTTATTCTGCTTTCCTTAAGGGAATAGACTACATTGGTATAAACACCTTTATATCGATATAACTGGTTGTACTGCCCTACCTCTGCTAGGATAGTTAAAGCGATACAACTTTTGTGTGTAGACAAGCCCACAAGCAACAGACTGCTGTTTGCCAGAGAATTCAACTAAAAAATCTGTTTATGAAGTGCTAGAGCCTGTTCAGTCCCAAACAGTCGCTCCCTCTCACCACCATGTGGGCTATCCTTACTTTCCCACCCTGGACACACACATACACTGCTTGAGATTTGCTAGCCCTGGAAGTAACTCTGGACAAGAGGGATCAACTTTTAGCCACTAAGCAGAGAACTTTTGAAGCTAAAGACCTGTCCATGGACCCAACTGCATTGTCATCCAAGCTGCAAAAATTGTTTAAGCTTCATCTCTGCAATGTAAAGATCAGAGGGCCCAGAGCAGAAATTTCTGTGAATGAGGAAGAGTTCCAACAACCTGCAAATTGGGTTGGTGCTCTTAACTAAGTGGATAACTCCGCCAATAGGCTGATACACTCTGGCCTGGTTTTTCTTGGCTAGCAACCTGCTCTCTCTCCTTGTTTCTGTTCTTTCGTTTTTGCTGACTTCCTTACGTGATCTTGGACAAGCCATTTAATCTTGGTCCTCGCTGATTCCCTGGTTAAAATAGGTGGACAGTCCTGACAAGGGAGATTTTAGATGTGAGAATCTCACCACTTGGAGATATTTTGGATTAGTAGAGCTACAAAAGAACAAAGTGGTATTGGGTTGGAAAATAAAATGCTTGTGTAATTGGCCTAGTGTCTTCTGTGCAACTGCAGTGCTCATGTCGGAAGGATATGGTGAAGATCTCCATGGATGTTTTTGTGAGGAAATACCAGCCAGATCGCTACAAGCTCTGGAAAGCAGGGAAAGATGTGACTGCCATTGACCACACTCTTCCCACACCAGAGGCAGCAGAGTTCTTCAAGGGGGAGCTCCTCCAGAAAGTCAAGAATGGGAAGCAGTGCAGTGAGGAAATAGAAACTGGGGAGGCATGTAAAGAGGATGTGGACATGGACGAGAAGAAGAGGTATGTCACATAGTGGTGAATGCTTCCCTGTTCAATGACAAACCAGTGCAACCTGCTGCGTTGGAATGCTTTACATTCCTATGGAACAGTAGCAGCTGGGATTGGGCAGGTTCCTGTCTCAGGAAGAGGATTTGCTCTTCACTAAAGTGGTTAGGTCCAAGCTGATGTGTATCTGTCAGGGGAGAATTGGCAGGGAGCCGTACAATAGCACTAGCTTGGTCCACCATGGTTTGCCTACTTGGGTCATTGCTGTCCAAAGCCTGAAAATTGGGAGCAGTGCTGTATGTTGGAGACCAGAACAAAGAAGCATTCTGTTGGGATTGTGGAAACATTCTCCATGGCCAAATTCCAGCAGCATCAATGCTGGAGCTGCCATGATAGTACACCATTCCTATTCATTGTTGCTTAAGGAATAGTTGAACAGTGATGTCTAAGCTAGTGGCCTTGAGTTTTACTTAAGGGGAGGCGATGTCTCTGGATGTACTCTGGCATCTGTTAATCATGCATTGTGAGGCTGAGGGAACCTAAGGATGAGTGGTACTACACAAGGCTATTTTGGAATAGCCAAGAGAGTGCATGGCTTGTCCAGTGCTGGTTTCTAAAAGTCCTGGCATCAGGCATATGACCTAAACCAGGCGTTTCTTGAGGGTACTGACCTGACATTTCACGTAAGTATTCTGTGTGATCAACCACTTGTGGACTTGTTTTCTGCAGTCTGCCCAAGCATCGGATAGGAACCAAGAGGCACAGGGTCTGCCTCGAGGTGCCCCAAGAGGTGAGTCAGAGCGAAGCCTTTCCGAAGGAGGAGCTGAGCTCTGTGCAGTATGAGGTGGAAGTGGCAGAGCCTCCTGTCAGACCCACTAGTGAGCTTGTGCAGCAGGGCGAAGATGGACTCCCAGTTTCAGGTAATTGTTTCTCAAGTTCCATCTTACTGTATAGTATAAGTTTGTGTTTTAAAGGTCAGACCGATCAGAGGCACTGGTGCTGAATCCAGGTCATTCCCTCTTAAATAAGAGGCCATTTGAGTTTGAAAAGCATGTCACAAAGGCATGTTTGAACCTGGGTGTGTGGCATTTTTGCCTCCATCACTGGTTCATATGGAGACCACTGCTTGTTTAAATGATTTTGTTGGCACCAGGCATGTAGGTGGCACTTCTGGTTAAGAACAGGAGGAGGAGACCAACATGAGCAGGGTGGAGGGAGGGAAAGAACAAGGGTGCAAACAACTGTCTTGGGGCTGCTTGGATGATTGAAGATGTCCTTGGAGCTTCTTATTTCCAAGGAGCCTCAAAGAAAAGAGGAAGTGTTTGAGATTTTTGTAAGAAAGCTGGCCCTTCTAGCTTCACGACTTCTCTAGTCTTTCCACTTCATCATTTCCCTCTGTCTAGAAACATACTGGGTGCTTCAACAGTCCTGGCCAAAGCGCTTCTATGGCATTAGACAAGTGACCAGACAGAGAGGAAAAGGGCAAGAGTCAGTCGCTCAGTAAAGCACGTGCATATCTTACTGTAGGATCCTGCCTGCTAAGCAGTGTGTGAACCACCTAACAGGATGTTTCCTGATTGTGCATTCCGTTCCTTCTGCACACCCAGGAGCCTCCTGTCTAGTGGTTGTCTTCTCCATCACTTCCTGGTGTCTAATTCAAGGCAGTCTCCAAGCTGCCCTGACTTCATCAACAATCTGTCTTGGTTTCAGATTATGTGGATTCTTCAGAAGTCAAATTTGAAGAACTGAAAAATGTGAAACTGGAGGAGGAGGAGGAAGAGGAGGAAGAGCAAGAGGCAGCTGCCCTGGATCTTTCCATTCCTCATTCAGTCAATTCCACCTCGGCCTTCACTGCTTCTAAGCCGAGTTCAGCTTTCAGCCTTCAGCCCAGCTCTCCAGCAGAGTCTACGTCTTCCGACTCGGAGTCAGCTGAGCTATTGCCCCGACGAACGCTCGGCCAGGCCACGGTTCTTACTGTCCATAGCTATGCTAAAGGAGATGCCAATGGCGCTGACAGTGAACATGCTTCAGGGAAGAAAGCCAGCACTACAGCCAGTGTGAATGAACAGGAGCTTGCAGAGGTATGAATGGCAGCTGTTCATCGGAAAAGTTCAGAACTGCATTATGCTGTGGTGAACTTAGTGGGTTTGTGAAATTGTAAGTGTCTGTCTATTGCACTCACGCTTTCGATTCTACTGGTGTCAGTACAACAGATCTCCTTGCTTGGTAATTTCTGTCCTTTAATCTTTACAATGGGACCTGACTGTAATTTTAATTTAAATTATCAACCAGACCATCAATGTTTCGGTACCGTCACCTCACAAATTGGAGCGAGAGAAACCTTTTTCTTTATTTTGAAAACCAAATTTCTTTATCACCTCAAATCTCTAAAGTGAACATTTCAAAAAATGTTCAGGTTGATAAAAGGTGTCCTGGGACCAACAACATACAAGATATTAGTTAAACCCTTGTTTTATTCATGTCAAGTAATTGCTGACTTATACCCAGTATAAATAGCCATCATTAAAACTTGTTACATTCTTACTGAACTCACCAGGGGAAAAATATATCTTTTATAAAACAATAAGGTCTAAATTAGCTGTTACCACTCAAGAAAGAGATCTTGGAGTCATTATGGGTAGTTCTCTGAAAACATCCACTCAGTGTGCAGCGGCAGTCAAAAAAGCAAACAGAATGTTGGGAATCATTAAGAAAGGCATAGATAATAAGACATCCTTGTTGCACCCACATCTTGAATACTGCTTGCAGATGTGGTCACCCCATCTCAAAAATGATGTATTGGAATCAGAAAAGGGCAACATAAATGATTAGGGGTATGGAACAGCTTTCATATGAAGAGACATTAATAAGACTGGGACTTTTCAGCTTGGAAAAGAAACTAAGGGGGGGATATGATTGAGGTGTATATATAATCATGACTGGTGTGGAGAAAGTAAGTAAGGAAGTGTTGTTTACTCCTTCTCATAACACAAGAACTAGGGGTCACCAAATGAAATTAATGGACAGCAGATTTAAAACAAACAAGGAAGTATTTCTTCACATAACACACAGTCTGTGAAACTCTTTGCCAGAGCAAGTTGTGAAGGCCAAGACTCTAACGGTTCAAAAAAGATCTAGATAAATTCATGGAGGATAGGTCCATCAATGGCTGTTAGCCAGGGTGGGCAGGGATGGTGGTGTCCTTAGCATCTGTTTTGCCAGAAGCTGGGAATGGGCGACGGGATGGATCACTTGATGATTCCCTGTTCTGTTCATTCCCTCTGGGGCACCTGGCATTGGCCCCTATCAGGAGACTGGGCTAGATGGACCTGTGGTCTGACCCAGTGTGGCCATTCTTATGTTCTATTAAAAAATTGAAATTAAAATGAAAGCAGTACAGCTTCTCTTGTTCCATTTCCCTTTTGTTCGATAGTCTTTTATAGTAAGAAACCCTTTCTTTAGTCTTTCTAAATGGTTTTACCGGTTGTATTTTAGGGGGGAGATTTTTAGCTCAGGCAGCTTTGAGGTGGTGGTGCTGAAACAGGCTCAATCATCCTTTAAAACAAAATATCACAGAGCATGTCTTGATCAGTCTGTGTGACCCCAAAAAATATAAAATCCAAACCAGTAATACCCACACTTGGTGTCTTTAAAGGGCCAGATTTACAAAACTAAAAAGTTATGGACCAAATCGGGAATTGTATAAATGGTATTGGTCCATTACTAGATGGAAGTTGTAGAATTGTCAATAGTGCTGAAGTGTTCATTTAAATATTTCTGTTCTGTATTTGGGGTGGAGCGGGGGATTCAGATGTGTGCGTACATCACAATGAAATACTTCTCATTCCAGTAGTAACTCAGGAGGATGTTAAACAGCAGCTACTAAAGGTAGACCTCTTTAAATCAGCAGGTCCAGATAACTTGCTTCTGAGTTTATTAAAAGAGCTGGCCAAGGAGCTCTTTGGACCATTAATGTTGATTGTTCAGTAACCCTTGGAATACTTGGGAAGTTCCGGAGGACTGAAGGAAAACTAGGTAAATGGGATGGCCGTGATAATTATAGCCCTATCAGTCTGACATTGATCCTGGTCAGAAGAATGCAACTGCTGATACAGGACTTGATTAATAAAGAATTAAAGGAGTGTAATTAATGCCAGTTAACAAGGGGTTATGGAAAATAGATTGTCTAAACTTTTTTTTTTTTTTTTGAGGCGAGTATGTTTAGTTAATAAAGATAACAGTGTGTATGTAATTAATATACATAGGCTTCTGTAAGGCATTTGATTTGGTACCACATGACAGTTTGAATTAAACTAGAACAGTACAAAATCAACAGGACACAAATTAAATAGATAGGGTCTCAAAATGTAATTGTAAATGAGGAATCATTAAGCAGTTGTGTTTCTAGTCAGGTTCTGCAGGGATCAGTTCTTGGCCCTATACTATTTAATACTTTTATCAGTGGTCTGAAAGAAAATATGCATTCATATGCAAAACTTTATTTGTAATGACCCAAAGATTGGGAGAGTGATAAATAATTAATAGGACAGGGCACTGATACAGAGCTATCTGGATTTCTCTTAAGCTGGGTGCAGGCAAACAGTATATGATTCAGTACGGCCAATATAAGGTCATACTTACTGGATGGCGGACTCTATTCTGGGAAGCAGTGACTGTGAAAAGAACTTGTGTCATGGTGGATAGTCGATTGAACATATGTTCCCTGTATGATACTGTGGCCTGAAGGGCTAATTTAACCCTTGGAATTATAAAGTGGAATCTTGAATAGGAATAGTTATATTATATCTGTGTTTGGCCCTGGTGTGACTACTACTGGAATACTGTGTCCAGTTCTGGTGGCCACAATTCAAGGATGATGATGATGATAAATCAGAGAGGGTTCACAGAAGAGCCATGAGAATGATTAAAGGATTGGAAATATGCTTTATAATGAAAGTCAAGGAGCTCGGTCTCTTCAGTTTAACCAAGAGACGGTTAAAGTGTGATTTGATCAGTATATAAATACCTTCGAGGGGAACAGAAATTTGATGATAGAGGGCTCTTCAGCCTCACAGAGAAAGTTACAAGAAGATCCAATGACTGGAAGTTGAAGCTAGCCAAATTCAGACAGAAATAAAGCTCACGTTTTTAACAGTTGGGGTAATTAACAATTGGAACCATTTTCCAAGGGTTGTGGTGGAGCCTCTGTTACTGGAAATCTTTAAATCAAGATTCGATGTTTTTCTAAAACAGATTCTATAGTTCAAACAGGAATTAATTCAGGAAAGTCCTACTGTCTGTTATACAGGAGGTCAAACTGGATAATTAAGTGGATCTTCTGGCTTTATAATCCATGAATCTTTGGAAAGGGGAGAGAAATCTTCTGTTTGCATCCTAGCCGCAGAGAAATTACAGACTTAGCATATGGGCTTATCAGCCACATAGAGATCTGGCAAACTTTCACCTGTGTCAGGTTGTTGAAGGCATTGCTTTTAGCTTCTTTTCTGATCCCAGGCTCACAGTAATGTTGCAAAAATTGGCGTTATCTGAGCAAGCTAAGCCAGATTCTTGTCAGGAGGGAAAAAGAGGAGCAATAAGGTGGGGAAGAAGAATGATGGAAGAAGGTGGATGACAGATCCTTGGGGTTATACTTCAGATGTTCATGATTTTAGCCAAAGCCAGAAGTGGTGTAGTGAGATCATCTGGTTACTTCTCTCTGATTTGATCTAATCAGGAGATCTTTTAGGATCAATATGGCAATAGTCAACAACGTTGCATTGGATCATGGGCTCCCAGGAGACAGTGCGGGGCAGCACCAGTTCTAATAGCAAAGCTCATTCCTTCCAGTCCATGCATCCTGCTGACTTTTTCAGTATCATGCACTTATCCCCCCAGATAAGTGATATCCAGAAGATCGTGGCAGCCGCAGCCTTTAACTCGTCAAAACACACTTAGGTGACTTCAACTGTAAATGTTTTCTCCCATTTCTAGAATCTTTCAGCATGTCTTCATATCAACCCAGGACTTTACCAGGAACGTTGAAGACCCCTTATCACTGTTTTTAACTTAAACAATCCCGTTGGTAGTGTCTTCAGCTTTAGCTTGCCTTGTGTAAACAAACTTGCATAATGGGCTGAGTTAGGACTTGTCTAGTGTAGATTACACAACAGATCTAACTTACTTTCACCATTAATTGGTGACTGGTTAACTTTGTGCATTTCACTCTGCTTAAACAATGAAAACAGTCACTTTTGCTGTCTGGCTATTCTGTAGCAGTACAATGCTAAAATACTTGGGTTTCAGATACTTTTGCAAGCATAAATCCAAAGTTTAATATACATTATGGAAATATTTCTTTGTTTTAGTGTCTTGTAAAAATGCCCTCTTTTTAAATTTGTTTTGGGCCAAAATGGATCTGACTGGCTGTAACATGATGATTGCTGAGTTGCTGCTTTGCCTTGTCCAGGTGGCGAAGGAGTACATGAGATCAATGAAAGAGAGTAAAAAGTCAAAGGGTCGTCGCCAGCCCTTGAGCAAACTTCCTCGTCATCATCCTCTTGTGGTTAAAGACTGCATCAGTGATGATGGTAAGTTCTACATACTTCAGTCGGGTAGGATTCAGCTATCTGGGGAGGCCTTGGATGGGAAGGTAGAAAGAGGGCTCAAGATGTAGGAGGACAATATGGTACGTTCCATGAGATAACGGAAGATATATGGGAGGCATCTAGGCAGGTGTCTTCTCTCCAGCCTAGGAGAGGTTCTTAGTTCTGCTTGGAACTCTTGCTTCATTCTCAAGTGCATGCCCTCGGCAGTGGAATTGTTTCACACCTGAGTGTTTATTCTTTCCCACTACTTTCTTTTGGAATCTGAATATTTTTTCCAGTCACAGAAAGTCACAACTGTGCATACCAGTCAAACGCTAAACATATCTGAACTTTGTTTCTGTATTCCACAGTTGATGCTTCCTTGGAGCTTTCCAATAATCCACTAAATAGCCATTTAAAAAAAATATCGATATTGTTTACTGACCATTTAGCCTATATATGCTTTGGATCTGATTAAATTGTAGGTTCCAAGGAGCTGTGTGATGGGGTCACCTCACGACAGGCGCTCCTCCTTGTGACGGGCTGGGAATTAGCTTTCATTTCATCGATTGCTTGCACTCTGAGCTCCCTGTCTGAGTGCACTCAGTGTGCTCCCTCTTTGTGACTTGGCCCTCCAGCTAAGATACTGTATAGTCCGCCCCCCTTTCTGGGATAACCGAGTCCTGCTAGACAAGCTGTCCAGACACTGTTGCAGACAATCTTCCTTTCCAAGTCTGCCGGTCCTGTGCCACTTTCAAATGGCTGGTAGGGGAACCCAGGCCCTCCCTTTACACTAGGTTCCAGCCCAGGGACCCTATAACCAGCAGGCCAGGTCTGTGCAGTCCCACTCCTTGCTGCTGTTTCCCTGGGCTTCTTCCTATCCCACCTCTATCTTCTTGCCAATCTCTGGCTTGCCGCTAGAGAGTCCTCTGCTCTCTATGGCTACTTCTCTGTTTTCTGCCTCTTGTTGGACTCCCACCCTAGGGCAGGAATCCAGGTTTACTATCCCCCTGGATCTCCTTTTTGGCCCTAGCTAACTCCCTTTCCCCCCAGGGAGTGACTGCAGACCTCTTCCCTGCAGTCCCTTCCTGGCTTATAATCCTGTCCCAGCTCCTTCCCCATATGAGTTTCATTTGCCATTCCAACCAGTCCTTGGTTACCCGCCAGATGCAGCATATAAGGTTAACTGGCCCCTTCTAGCCCCTGCTCAGAGCTTGTGTGGGCTGGCCACCCCATTGTAAGCAGGAACAGGATCATGCATGCCTATACTTCTCATTTGTATGACTCTTCCTCAGCTCATGTTTCTGCTAAATTCCTCATGTTTTCAGAAGGAAATAAACAATTTCTCACCATCCCTGGCATGTGCATACTTCCCATTGTCAGAGATTGGAGCCCCTCTCCTTACCATTCTTCATCGTGGTGGCTATCATAAACTCTCCTTGCAACACAGTGGCAGCAGCAGGACATATTGCTAACACTAATGAAACCATTTCTTGTTGCAGAGATGTCGGAGCAACTGACTCCTGAAGAAGAGGCTGAGGAGACAGAGGCTTGGGCCAAACCACTTAGCCAGCTGTGGCAGAATCGCCCTCAGAATTTTGAGGCAGAAAAAGAATATAATCAGACCATGGCTCAGCAGCCCCCTCACTGTGCTGTATGCATGCTGTTCCAGACCTACCAGGTAAGCATCCTGCACGTCTCCCAGAGCTGCTCTTTGTATGGCAGAAGCTGAGGGAGAAGGCAGCTGCCACATTCCTCAGGATTTTGTAAACTAGTAGGTTGTGAATCTAGCCAGCATGAGTATAAATAGCAGTGTAACTGATGAGAATACAGACACACCAGAACCTTAAGGTATATATCCTGTGCAGCTCTGTATATGCCCAAGGAGTGCCTCCCATGTCTACGCTGCTCTCTTTAGCAGTGTAGTATCTCACTGCCACCCTGCTGCCGGAACCTTTCCCAGCCACCATGAAAAGCTCCAACAGTGTGAAAGGTTTGGGGAGGGGGAGGTAGAAGGGAAGGGTTCCAGCAGACTTTCCCTGCTTCCTCTCCCGCCAGAGCTTTTCGCTGCTGTGTGGACACAGCCTACTTTTCACTGTAGCATATCACTGCGTGTACCCTACATTCTGTTGCAAGTGTAGACAAGGCCCTAGAATATGAAACAGCTATGGAGATGTTTAAAAAAGTTGATATATTCTTTAGAATCTTAGGCTATGTCTACATTACACAGCTTTTAGCGACGAGGCTGTCACCACAACCGTGCAGGTAAATCACGCAGTGTAGCCACTGTTTGTCAGCTCTCCTGCCGACAAAAGACTTCTGCCCCCCAATGAGCAGCATTTGCGTTGTCAGCAGTAGAATACTTCTGCCGACAATGTGCTGTTCACACTGGCACTTGTTGTGGCAAAACTTTTGTCTTTCGGGGGGTGGGGTTTAACCTCTGAAAGACAAAAGTTTTGTCATTCAATTGCCGGTGTAGACATAGCCTTGGAGATCAGAGGATATAACTAAAAACAGTACTACTTATAGTAGCATTGCAGTCTTCTGTGACTCTGCAGCTGTAAAAGTCTAGGCATTGTAAAGATGTGCCACAGATACCCTTCTGGGGAAAGGGACAGGCCTTGTGATTCCAGGGGGCACGTACAGACCAATGTATCTCTTGCTGCTTGACACAGAACGATGTGTTTCAAACATCCTCAGGCTTACTCTAGAGAGAAGGGGAATACCTCTAGATTTGAAGCCGCTCTGACTGAGAATTTTGTGGGGCACTGGGAGAGTATGGAACACCAGTGGGAGGTTTAGTGAGTTTTGTTTCTTCACACAAATGTGGCTAGGTTTTTAGAAGCACGAAATCCCAGCTGACACCAATTTTTTAAAAAAAGGCTCCAGGGCAATCTCATTAATTGCAGGCCGGTAAGCCTAACTTCAGTACCAGGCAAATAGGTTGAAACTCTAGTAAAGAACAGAATGATCAGACGCATGGATGAACACAATTTGGTGGGGAAGAGACAACATGGTTTTGGTAAAGAGAAACCATGCCTCACCAATCTATTAGAATTCTTTAAGGGGGACAACAAACGTGTGGACAAAGTGATCCAGTGCATATAGTGTACTTAGATTTTCAGAAAGCCTTTGACAAGGTAACTCGCCCAAGGCATCCAAGGGAAGGTCCTCTCATGGATCGGTAACTGGTTAAAAGATAGGAAACAAAGGGTAGGAATAAATGGTGAGTTTTCAGAATGGAGAGAGGTAAATAGTGGTGTCCCCCAGGGGTCTGTTCTGGGCCCAGTCCTATTCAACATATTCATAAATGACCTGGAAAAAGAAGTCAAGAGTGAGGTAGCAAAATTTGCAGATGATACAAATCTACTCAAGATAGTTAAGTCCCAGGCAGACTGCGAAGAGCTACAAAGGGATCTCACAAAACTGGGTGACTGGTAACAAAATGGTAGATGAAGTTCAGTATTAATAAATGCAAAGTAATGCACATTGGAAAACATAATCCCAAGTATGCATACAAAATGGTGGTGTCTAAAATCAAGAAAGATCTTGGAGTCATTGTGGATAGTTTTCTGAACACATCTGCTCAATGTGCAGTCAAAAAAGTTAACACAATGAGAGAGAGTCCAGTGGAGGGCAACGAAAATGATCAAGGGGCTGGGGCACATGACTTACAAGGAGAGGGGCTATAACAGCGTTTAAAAGAGAACTGGATAAATTCATGATGGTTAAGTCCATTAATTGCTGTTAGCCAGGATGGTAAGGAATGGTGTCCCTAGCCTCTGTTTGTCAGAGGATGGAGATGGATGGCAGGAGAGAGATCACTTGATCATTGCCTGTTAGGTCCACTCCCTCTGGGGCACCTGGCATTGGCCACTGTCGGTAGACAGGATACTGGGCTAGATGGACCTTTGGTCTGACCTGGTACAGCCGTTCTTATGAGAGGCTGAGGGAACTGGGGTTATTTAGTCTGCAGAAGAGAAGAATGAGGGGGGGATTTGATAGCAGCTTTCAACTACCTGAAAGGGGGGGTTCCAAAGAGGATGGAGCTCAGTTGTTCTCATTGGTGGCAGATGACAGAACAAGGAGCAGTGGTCTCAAGTAGCAGTGGGGGAGGTCTAGGTTGGATATTAGGAAAAACTATTTCACTAGGAGGGTGGTGAAGCTCTGGAATGGGTTACCTAGGGAGGTGGTGGAATCGCCATCCTTAGAGGTTTTTAAGGCCCAGCTTGAGAAAGCCCTGGCTGGGATGATTGGGGATTGGTCCTGCCTTGAGCAGGCGATTGGACAAGATGACCTCCCTAGATCTCTTCCAACCCTAATATTCTATGTTAGGAACTATTAAGGAAAGGGTAGATAAGAAGACAGAAAAAATCATAATGCCACTATATAAATCCACAATATGCTCGCATCTTGACTACTGTGTGCAGATCTGGTCACCCCATCTCAGAAAAGATATATTGGAAAAGGTACTGAGAAGGGCAACTAAAACACTTAGGGGTATGGAACAGCTTCCTGATGAGGAGAGATTAAAAAGACTGGGACTTTTCAGCTTGAAAAGGAGACAACTGGGGCGTGGGGGGATGGATATGGTAGACATCTATAAAATCTTGTCTGGTGTGGAGAAAGTGAATAAGGAAATATCATTTACTCCTCATAACACAAGAACATGGGGCCACATATGAAATTAACAGGCAGCAGGTTTAAAACAAACACAAGGAAGTACTTCTTCACACAAGGCACAGGTGACCTGTGGAACTCTTTGCCAGGAATGTTGTGAAGGCCAAGACACTAGCCAGGATGGTCAGGGATCCAACACCATGTTCTGAGTGTCCCTAGCGTCTGTTTGCCAGAAGCTGGGACTGGACAACGGGATGGATCACTTGATGATTACCTGTTCTGTTCATTCCCTCTGAAGCACCTGGCATTGGCTACTATTGGAAGACAGGATACTGGGCTAGATGGCCCATTGGTCTGACCCAGTATGACCGTTCTTATGTTCTTATGGCTTGTGCTTGTCTTTAAAGATGGGATCATGTTCTGAATGATGCAGGAAGTAAAGCTTGCTGTTGTGTAGCAGTTATCTTTGTCTGATGAAGCTAGTAGTAAGAATAACAATGTGAGAGAGAAATCTGAGGTTTTCAATATTCCCGGTAAAATATACCTATATTCCCCACCTCACTTTCATAGGCAGAATGTGGAGGCCATGGTCAGAGCCCTGGAGTTGCTCCAGGTACTGCCACCAGGAAGGTACGAACCAAACCTCTGATTCCTGAGATGTGCTTCACTGCAACTGGCTGCAGCACTGACCTCAATCTCTCAACCCCTTACCTGGAGGAAGATGGAACCAGTGTCCTGATCACCTGCAAAAACTGCAGTGTCTGTGTTCATGCTAGTGAGTACAGCCAAACCCCACACCTAGGCACTCACTGCCCTGCAGTCTGATCTTGTACACTGTAACAATTCTACCTAAAGAATGAGTCCATTCCTTAAGTGGATCACGGAGACCTGCAACACAGGGCCTTGTGAATGGTGGCGTGATGGTGGTGTACGGCACACTTGAGGTTTATGGAACCCTCACGCAGGGATTATGAAGTGAAGCCCAAGGGCTGTAATTTTCACATTCCCTCTTTGACCTCCAAGGTGAGAGATCTGTGCTGTTTTCCCTAAGCAGCTTGTTTCCGTTCTAGGTTGTTATGGTGTCTCCCCTGACAAGGCCACTGAAGACTGGATGTGCTCCAGGTGTACAGCCAATGCTTTAGAGGAGGTAAGAAAATTGCTTGTACAAGCCTCACTTGGCTTTCTCTTGAAGGACTCAGGAGGTTCCTATTAGTCAGGTATCCAAGCTGTGTGGAGCCCATGGGAGGACTGGGGGCAAGGTCATAGACTCATAGAATATCAGGGTTGGAAGGGACCTCAGGAGGTCATCTAGTCCAACCCCCTGCTCAAAGCAGGACCAATCCCCAAATCCCTAAATGGCCCCCTCAAGGATTGAACTCACAACCCTGGGTTTATCAGGCCAATGCTCAAACCACTGAGCTATCCCTCCCCTGATGAAGGCAAAGTCAGACGAAGACTAGTTGCAGAGCTCTTCCTGAAACCTTCCGTTGTGCGGTGTCTGCTCCCCTTTTGTGATAAGGCTGTAATTTAGAGAACACCTCCAGAGTGTAATTCTCTGCCATTTGGCCTTTTGATTTAATGTCTTCTGGCTTAAAGATTCAGTGATGCAGTGATTCAGGCTGTTGTGGTCAGAAATGGAGAAGGAAAGTTCTGCAGAAATGTGGTGATCTGTTTATCTCTGATCTCTCCTTGTATATGACACCTTCTGCTCTACAAAATGCAGCTAACTTGTTGCTTAGCTGTGGCTGTTGCAGTGGCAGGGGATACTGAAATCTAACTCATTGAGGAGGAAGGTGGCCCAGAGTAGAGGGGTTCTTTCAGAAAGTGTCATGGGCTCTGGACCAACAGAAGGGACCACTGCATCTCTTCCAGGGGCCAGCCCCTTGAATTGTATCCGCCAGGGTGGTTGGTTCCCAGCTTCAGCTATGCCTAGTTGGGATAGGATTTTGTTTCTCTGGTATGAGCTCACAACATTGGCTCTCTGTGTTTTTCCCACCCAGCTTCAGAGTAGCTCTCCTTAGTTTACTCCACCTCTGAGTATCTAGAGAACTATGAGGTCAGTCCATTTCTCAAAAGCAGGAGGCCATTGATAGCTCTTAATTAGGCTGTCCTCTGCAAAGTGATTGTACCAGTGGGGCTAATTGGCAACAAAGAGCTATTTCTCTGAATGTGTCGTCGCAGTGAGGCTCTCTGGTGCAAGCTTACTGCTTCATTGACAAATAACATGGTTCCTCATTTTCCTCCATGTGGCAGGACTGCTGCTTGTGTTCATTACGAGGAGGTGCGCTGCAGAGAGCCAATGATGACAAGTGAGTATTCCAGCTTTTTCATTCTCTATGGAGCAGCGTAGCACATGAGCACTTGTGAGGTTGTTAAAAGTTCATTGCTTAGTGCGAGTGTGCTGCAGGGATGATGTAGTGACCAAGGGCATCTTCCAGATGGATTGACAGGATTGATGCGGAGGCTTGTAAACCTATAACATAGTTCAAGATGTGAGCACATGGTGCCTAATGCACCAGGACTTGGGTGAGTGGTGCAGTATCACAGAGACCCACAGCCAGTCACTGACTTCCCAGGGAATTCCCCATCCCAAGGTGGTGATAGCTATTAACTGCTTAGTCTCTTATTAAGTAAAATTGTCTTTGGTTCCCAGAGCCATGTGAGGGGCCGGGAACTCTGAATACCAGGTTACAAAGAGATCATGCTCCATACAGCAACCAAAGGCTCTACATACCTCAGCTCTGCCAATAGACTGTCTGTCTAAATTTACACTGCTTGTGTCTTCAGCTCGGGGCTTAGCTGGAGGCGTCTACATCACAGGACAGCCACAAAGGTTCCTTTACTCTTCCCAAACAACACTTCACTGGCTTTGGGAGATGGGGCCCTCCTGCAATGCAGCATATTTTGGCTCAAGGCTGACTTGGGGCAGCTACAGCATAGGCGACTGTTAATGGAAAAGGACGTAGATTAATTTGGCTAGTATGTCTAAAGTTCTTGGATGCAAAATACGTTGGTATTTACTATCTGAATCTTAACTTACAGTGCTAAGGGGTAAATTATGGTAACTTGGCCTGAAAACTCTGGGAGTGGCCTTTGACCTCTAGGTCACTGTTTCAAAACCAGGTCAGTAGTGTCTAAATAGTTATTATCTGACAGGTCTGTGGCCTGAGTAAAACAAGCTTGTAGGGCACATGTGCCTGCAGCACAAATACCACCAGCACAAGTCTCACTCAGTCACTCCCTTGTTCACCTCAGTGGAAAGGCCAAGAACTGAATGGGATGAAGTCCGCTTTTGCTCCTAGATGTCTCCATTATCAGGACTAGTGTGAGGGAGGCTTGCACTACTTGAGCTCTAGTCTGCTGTATGGATCAACAAAGGATTTCATTCTTAGGGCTGGAGGGATTGCCAATCTGCTACACTTCATTAGCACTAAACTTGCTTAAATTCTCAACTGTCTTTCTCCAGTGTGTACTGACTTTTTTCCAATTCTGGCAGGTGGGTCCATGTGATGTGTGCTGTAGCTGTACTGGAGGCAAAATTTGTGAATATTGCAGAGCGCAGTCCAGTGGATGTTGGCAAAATCCCCCTGCAGCGCTTCAGACTGGTAAGAAACATCTGAGACTCACTGTTAGGCTTGTTAGTTTCACTGAGGTCCTATCTGTGGGGTCTTCTATTCTCCTCCTGAAGGAGACAACTCCTCTCTGTTAATTAGAGGTCAGAGAAAATTCAAACTCTGATGGTTTGGAGATGGTTTGTTAAATAAATCCCATTAGAGTACTCCCTACTCTCCAAAGCCTAGCTTTGTTCTTGGGTATTAACACAGCACAATAATTACCTGAAATTAGAATTAACAAGGGGGTTAGTATAGAGTCTTGTTATAGTTTAGCTAGTGATTTGAATTCCATAATACAGTAACGTGTTGGTATCTTATGTAGAAATCTCTAGGCACTTTAAATAAAATAGAAGCTGGGTCTGTTTAGCTTGTCTACAAACTCAGTTTAAAGAACGTAAGACTCTCACTCCTTTAGATAGAAGAGGAGGAAGGGGGTTTCCCTCAATCCAGAAGGAGAGAGCTGAGCTTTGTATGGCTATATCACATCATACCTGGCTATTAACTATCCACGCATGCAATCCAGTGCAGCACTAGCAGAAGAGGTGGGGTGGGATTTGACCAGTGGACTTGGAGCCACTGGAAAAGCAGAATACTAGAGGGGAGACCACTGCCAAGAGCATTCTCAATCATTGAAGCGTCTGAGGTGACAGCGATGAGATTGGATCGTGAACGTAGCCCCTAAAGCACCTCTGCATGTGTATGAAAGGTAGATAGATCTGTTCCATCTGAGGAAGCCTATTCTGCACATGAGTCCTTGCTAACTGGCCTGAGTCCTGGGTGGCTTTTTCATTTTTAGTGTTCTCTTTTTTTTAAGGATTTCTACAGTCTAGCCACTCATGAGTCTCAGACTGATAGAATTAGGAGAAGGTTCAAATACTTAATGCCTATTTCTTATATATCACTTTTCATCAGCTGTTCTCAAAGTGCTTCACAATCATTTAATTTATTTATCCTCTAAACCTCTGTACCTAAAAATATGACAATGGACTGAACCGCTTTGCTAAAAAACCTTCAATATTTTGGGGCAAACAAGGTGAGAACTATTAAATAAAAAGCTGTATATTGACTTTAGCTATAAGATATGGGACTTCCTGGCTGGCATGACTAATTTTTAGAAATACTTACATTTTAGAGCCTTTTCCTCCATTTGCTCAATCCTGCTTTAAGGATATAAACCAGTGTTTGTGACGTCCGTCAGTTACCACAAATCTGCTGGCCCAAATCTAGCCTTCTGCCTTTAGGGTAAGGTTATGGAATCTGCCTCTGTACAAATTCTACTCAGTTCTCCTCCCTTCTGAAATTCTGTCTCTGGTTTTATGAAATCCTTTGGGGTATAATGTTACTCTAGCCCTCTGGCCTGTTTCTGTCCTTGTATAACTATAGCCAGGAGTTGCAGTGGGCCATTGACTTTTGTCATTGCTGAAATGTGGTAGAATGACATGTCCAGGTCTCCTTTACTTACAGACATTTCAGTTCACATGTTTTGCTATTAAGCTTGTTGGATTGGTATATTATAGACACTTACTTTTTTGCCTTTGTCCCTGTTTGTAACTCCTGAGATTCCTGCCCTGTTATGAAATAAAACAAGCGTCCTTCTCTCTCTAGAATATAATAAAGCATGGTGCCTTTCTGGGATAGAGATTAATTGGAATAATGTAGTAACAAAAAAGGGTATTTCTAGTAACACCTGGGGGGCCTGTCAACATTCTGTGCCTGGGGAAAGCCAATGCTGAGCAGTAATCTCTAGTTTCCTGTCTGCAGAAATGCATCTTCTGTAAGAAGCGGAGGAAGAGAATTGCAGGTTGTTGTGTGCAGTGCTCTCATGGTCGCTGTCCTACGTCCTTTCATGTCAGCTGTGCTCAAGCAGCTGGAGTCATGATGCAGCCTGATGACTGGCCATTTGTTGTCTTCATTACCTGCTTTAGGCATAAGATTCCATCCCAGGCAGAGGTGAGTATTTGGGACACAACTAGGATTTGTTCTGGAGTAGGCCAGAGTATCAAGGGAAACGGAAAAGCTTTTGGTTGTGCTAGAGATAAAGTGGATGAGGTAATGTCTTTGACAGATTCATATCAATAAAAGAATCCCCTGTGCATTTTAGCCAGCATAGTCTAATGACCTTGGCTCCCATCCCATGCCAAGAACTGAGCCCTGATCTCAGTCCTGCTGCTGACTGCTTGTGGCCTTCAGCCAGTCACTTCTCCCAGGTTTCAGTTTTGTCTATAAAGTGACTGAGAACCACCTCCCCCTGGAGCTGTCGTGAGAAGGAATAGCTAAGGTGTGTGTGCATGTGTGTGAAGTAAGTAATGCTAATGTGCAGAGTTAGTACTGGGATCCCAGTGGAATGTCATGTTCCCTTGCAGCCTTTCTGCCAAATGAACTGCAGCATTCTGCTCGAGATGGGCCTGTAGAGGGCTTGCTGCAAAGCCCTCAAAATGTCTTGAGGGAACCTACTCTAAAGAGCGAGAGCTTGTAACTCCCTAGGTGGCCTGAGCTATGCACAGCACTGTCTTGGTCGCTGCAGCTGACTGGTTTGGTTTTTAAGCATTTAAAGCACTCTGGGGGAAAACTCTTTTAAAAATTGACTTCAGATCACTGGTGGATCCTATGTACAATTAAGAACTCTTGGCAACAATGTAGTTCTGTCTCTTCTCATCTGCCAAGACCCATGTTCAGTGCCAGTACACTGACCTTCATTTCAGCTGTCTAACAGCTCTTCTCCTCTCAGCGAGCTAAAGCTGCTCTGCAGGATCTCTCAGCTGGGCAAATGGTCATCAGCAAGCACAAGAACGGTCGTTTCTATCAGTGCGAAGTGGTCAATCTTACAAAGGAAACCTTCTATGAAGTCAACTTTGATGATGGCTCCTTCAGCGATAACCTCTATCCAGAGGACATTGTGGTATGTGGTGAAATAAGAGAGCTACTCCAAGAGAGGGCATGTGGTACAAGGAAACTATCACCATTGTGAGAGCAAATGTGTCTGTGTCTGCTAACATTTCTAGGGGGTTAATGACCGTTCATACAGTGGAAAGTACTCTCATCTGAGCGGAGAATTTCTTACAGCTTTTTAGATTTCTTCCCACTTAAAAACCTGTCATTGTCTAACTTAATACTTTGGTTGCAAAGTCCCTGTATTGGTCTTCTTTCTGACTTATGAGCAGCTGTATTCATTATCCTTGTCAGGCCTTCGTTAGCCGTTGTCTCTGTTTTCAGTTCTGTACCGAACTGCATGGGTGGGCTGGGTGGGTTTTATATACAGAACAAGGCAGTTGTGGCTGAACTGTAGCCCGTAGACAGAAGGCTTATCTACTGGCCTCCATGTCTTCTTCAGTGATGTTAATAGCAGCATGGAACTATTCTTGTGCCAAACTTGCATTCTCTGTGCCTCGGGCACCGTGGAAAGGCCCCTTTTCAGAGGCACCTGATGGGTGGAGGATGCCATGTGGCGACTACGCAGGGCTGGGAGGTGTGGTAGTGAAGGGCAAATGACAAGGCAATGCATTTGCACAGTTGTCACTGAGGATGCAAGTTGTGTTGAGGGTCTCTGTAACTGGAGCTGAGCCAGGAGAAGGAAAGGAACCAAGAAGCTTGACTTTGAAGTTGCAGACCATTTGAAATAGCTGGGAGCAGGAAACACCCTGTGTTTGTGAACTGATGGGTTAGTTGTGGCACCCTGTGGCTCAGTTTCCCTGTCTCTCTAGATGGGAAAATCCAGCTATCTCAAGGGCTGTTCGTAAGGTGCTTTGGTACTCTGATGGAAGGCCCTATAAAAATGGGATGGATCTCCCTGGGCCTGCTGAATCTTTATGCAAATGTAAAGAAGCTGTTACTGCTCACTTCTCCGCGTCTCCCGACTTTCCTTCTTATGCCATCAGAGTCGAGACTGTCTTCAGCTGGGTCCTCCTGCTGAAGGAGAAGTCGTGCAAGTCAGATGGACAGATGGACAAGTCTATGGAGCCAAATTTGTGGCCTCACATGCCATCCAGATGTACCAGGTATCGAGCTTCTATTCCTTTCTGCTGCCCTCCACCTCTCACTATTTAGATAAAATGCTCATCGCAGTGGTCTCTAGACACCTCCCCGTGGTCTATTTTAGAAGCCCTTTTGTAGAAGTGTGGTACTACTGGCAAACCAAGTCCTAGGACCCTCTTTAACTACTGCAGTCAAATCCCACTCAGAAAGGGGCAGGCGCGGTATGGGGTTTGTTAGTGATCTATTGGAAGGAAAGCTGCATAGATGACAGTAAAAATCTCCGCTTTTAGTCTGGATGGAGTATAAATGCTGAATAACTGGTACTGAGGACCCTGTTATAGCCTAGATGTCCTTTGTGACCCACCGATATATAGCCAGGTACCGATGAGTGGGTTATTGACCCCTTCCCTTCTGCACTAGAAATACAAATCCATAGGATATGCAGAGAAGTGATTCCATGCAGCAGGTTGTAGGAAACGGGGGCATCTAGTCAGTGTCTGCACCATGAGCTAAGCCCTTCTGCCACCAGCCTCAGCAGTGAGCCCTGCAAGTGCAACTGTTGAGCTTCCAGACGTCCTGGGAGTCACGCTAAGGGGGTTGGGCTGAGCCTGCACAACATGGGCACGTTCAGAAGGTTCAGACTCAGGTGTGAAAATGGCCTAATTTTCAGAGGTGCTGAGCACCGGCAGTGCCCACTGAACTCAGCAGCATTTTGGATGGCTCACCCCTTCTGAAAATCAGGCTGCTTTTATCTGACTGCCTAGCTGTAGGCACCTGTATTTGAAAATGGGCCCCAATATTTAAGCTCCTGTAGCTGAATCTGGCTGAAGCAAAGTTTTATTTACCAAAAAAACCTTGAATTTTAGAGTACTTGTGTACATCTTGTCCTCTTCTCCCAACCCTGCTGCTCGGATAACATCCGGAGTGGCACTGAAACACCCAGTTTGCCTGACAAGTAAAAATCCCCAGTGAGGAGCTGGCTTATTGCGAAGTGTTCTGAGAATATTCCTAAAACTGGTCATTCCCTTGACCCTAGGCAGATTGGGCTGTGCCACTTCCTGCTCCTCTTAGGATTATTGCTTGTACAAAGTCTGTTCCCAATACTAGATATTAACCAGCTGCTGCGACCTCCCTCATTTACACATGACCCCATGCTATGCCAGAAAGTACATGTATATTGAAAGCTTTCATGATGGGAGCTCACTTAGAGAGCTGGGAACTGAACAGGGAGACTCTGTAGTAGTGGGGGGGGGGATCTGGTTTTTGTGACTTCAGGCAGTACAGTATCATTTGTGTGTTAGGTGGAATTTGAAGATGGATCCCAGCTGATGGCGAAGAGAGATGATGTGTACACCCTTGATGAGGAGCTTCCAAAGAGAGTCAAATCAAGGCTGGTAAGTAGTGGGGGTGTGCATCTGTACTAAAAGTCCACTCCATAACCTTGATGTCCATGTGGCTTCCCCTGAGAGTAGCCTGCCTTCATGGGAGCAAACGCATTGAAGTGCACAGCAGCAAGGGCATTGCAAGGTGAGACTTGCTCTGGGAGTTTGTTTGCTGTCTGTTCCTTGGCTGATCTCTCTCTCTGTAGATACATTACTTCAGCTCACCTCTAGCTGAGGTCTGTAGCCCTTCATTGCTTACTGACAATTGATGGGACTTAACTAGTGAAATCCTGCATCTTTGAAATAGTGAGGTACACCAGGAAGTGCCTTGGTGTCCTTGGCCTGCATCGCTCCAGAAGGCCTCACATAGTAAGGCATTAGCTCCGCGACCATTCACAACCCAGGCACATTGCTGACCTGAGAGGCAGGTCCTGTGCACCCACCTGACTGTCCTAGCTCAGTTGCAACACTTGTTAATAAGCATGCAGAGTGTCTGAGTCCAGGAAGGGTAGGGGTGGGGCATTCATGCTGAGTGGGTGTTTAAATCTGCCTGTCTCAATAGAGCGGAGCATGCTGCAGACGTACTGGGTGTTTAGTTTGATCATTGCACTGACCCCTTAAGTCTCCTTCACACTTGGCACTGAGCTAGAATCCTTTGGCCCTCAGTGTTGTGTTTGCCCATTAATCATTTCACTGGGTCTAGTGACTGCAGGTATGTTAAGTTGCTTCTCTCTCCATACTGCAGTGTCACGTGGGCTTGTGCAAAACAGTCCCGTCACCCCATGCCCCACGCAATTTCTCTGCCGTGTGGGAGAGCTTGTAGGTGAGGGGTAATAAGTTCATTGGAGCGGCGCTGTGGGTATCTAACCCTGCTTTACTCTTGCAGTCAGTAGCTTCAGATATGCGCTTCACAGAAATCTTCACAGAGAAGGAGGTCAAACAAGAGCGGAAGAGACAAAGAGTGATCAACTCACGCTATCGGGAGGATTACATCGAACCTGCCCTGTACCGGGCCATCATGGAGTAAGCACTGCCTATGGTAGAGAAGGAGAGATGCCAACCTCCCAATGGATTCTAACACTCCAGTACAACAGAGGCCAAACTTGGACATTTCAAATCCATGTTTTTTTTTAAAAGGAAGCTACAATACTGTACCCTGCAGTAGCTGAAAGGAGATTGTTGGATGGTGGAACCATTCAGTGTTGCAACAGTGGATGCCTGCCTGCAGGCTCCTCCCCTGAAGTTGTCTGCACTGAACAAGTATCTGGCAAGCCAGCTTGGGAGTTCTGCCTTCCACAGCTTATCTCCTCAAACAGTCTCTCACTGTTTCTGCTTGTCTGAGACAAAATTGACAGGTGGCAAACTCTTCTGGGAACTTCACCTGGGCATCTTGGCAGCTGCAGGAGGATACAAAATGTGTAGTTTTTGTTGAATAATGTTCCTGATTCTGGGAGTCTCTCCCCAATGGCCACACCTGCACCGAGCAGGCAGTATTACTGGTGCTTGACATTGAACCCCTTTTTATATTTATATCTGTGTGTTTTGTCTGGAGCAGCTTCAGTTTCTTGTTTCTCAGCATCTGCCCTCTGAGGGTGGAGCGTCAGGCTGTGCAGAGCCAAGTGGATTGGAGGCGTTTGTGTGAAGAGATGAAATGTGAAAATCAAATCCGATTGGACGAGCTATTTAACCCTCCATTTAGCTTTTGTTCTCATTTGATATTTTGAGACTTACTCGTGTTTAACTGTAATGGTCTGTGCCTACGTATAAATAGGAATCTGTCTGGAGCCTCCTGCAGTGCAGCCCTCTAACAAGAATATTCATTCAGCCCCCAAAGAGTACTTTAGCGTACGCTTCACTAAGGCAATAAAGACCAAAGGGTCCTCCTAGAGAGCCAAGCACCCCAGTATTGGTCATGACAGGGCAGCAGGATCGGTAGAATCCAGCACCTTGTCTGTGGCTATGCTGCCACACGCTCTTACCTAGGATAATTAGATGTGAGTCTAGGACCCAGTTACAAGATGCACTGAACTGTACCCGTTAATGAATGGTTGTGTAGTGCCACTCAGAAGCAGAAGTGCTGCCACGTTCTTCTGTCCGGCCACAGCTGGTAGGGCATCTGTGCTTTAAAATCCTGTGTAGAGCATTAATTGGACACACTCTTAGTTGTATCGGATAGACTTGACTATCCCAGCAATGGAAAGCTGTCAGTTCAGGAGCCATGCATTGCCTGTATCCTGAAGATGTTCTGACACGCTCCTAGTAAAGCATTAACAAGTTAAAGCAGCAATTGAATAAGGATGTGTGGCTTTCCCACCCTCTGGGAAAGGGATTTTAGACTGTGGGCAGACTGGCTGCCTTCCAGCTGCATGGAGTGACTTGGGTAGTTTCCCTTTGTTGAGAGAAAAAATCGTACAAATATACTCAGTTTTTTTATTTTAATTCTCTTCACTGACATAGACCCATCGCTGTAGTAAAGGGACCTTGTGTACACAAGACCCTGATTTATAGCAGTTTCCTCTTTGTTTCTATAAGAACACTATAAACCAAATTATTTTGAAATCTGGTGCATCAACTTGTTGATTAGCAATAAAATGTAGTGTTGTGCAGTGACTTTTTGACTCTTGATCAGCAAAATAATAAACAACAAGCTTTTTTGAAAAATAATCCTCTGTTTATACCAAAACTCTTCTAGGATCAGGATACTGATGTGACTATACAAATTTCTAGTGCTCAGGCTTGCTCTTGGATGTCCTTCTCTTACAATGTGTGGGAGAAGCCCTTGTTAATCAGCATTTGGGCAGATTCCTGGAAGGAACAGGGCCTTCACTTTGTACGTTTTCCCAGTAACTTAATTCATCGTGGTCAGTTTCAAATGTTAATGAATTATTCTGGTAAGCATTGGAATTGTTAACATGTAAAACTGGGACATTGTAAAATTGTCATAGTATCTGCAAGTGTGCAGGTGTACGAAATGAGAATCGGTTAGAGCTGCAAGTTGGCAACTCCTTTCGATGCCATTTTTGTGACTAACGAAAGGAAGGGAAGCTGCCAGCATCTCTTTGAATCTGCCCTCTAGTCTTCTAATGTACCTGGGATTCACTTTAATTCCCTCTAGACTGAATGCTGTCCTGTTCATCATGGGAAAATCTATTCTGCTTTTCCCTCCTTCCCCCCCCTCCCAAAAAAGGGTACCAATTTAGCTGTCTGGATGATGTAGAGGCTTCCTACCCAATCTGCTATATTACCTGCATGGACTGAGTTTCCATTCTAGGTGGTGATACTATATGTCTGGTATAAATACCTATCTACAAAGAAGGCTCCCACCCTAAAATGACAACCTAGTGCAAGGCAGCTGGGCTTGTGCCCTGCAAGGGTTCCAGGTCAGTTACACCATGCTTTGTCACCTGCCTCTCTCAATACTGAGTGACTTTCAAGAGCGTTTCCATGCTCGGTATTAGTTCTGGTCAGGGAGCTCTGACCTGATGTGACCCAAAGTGTTCTCTGTAAATGGACTTCAGACTGATGGTCTTGTCGCTGTCTGCACTGTCTTGGAAACCACTGCCATCCTTGCTGAGTTTCCTGCATCATTGGATAAAGGAAGGTTGTCCCATTTCCCATTAACTGCATTTAACAATGTAGTTTAATAAACACCTATAGATGAAAACCTCATTTCTGATTGGTTTATACCTGACCCACTTTCTGGTGACTTAGACCTGCACTCCAGCACCAGGCTAGGTGCACAAATCGAAATGAGAGCAGAATTCCTCGTGTTTAACACACCAGGGAGTCCATGTCATTTTTTGACTCCAAGTAGAATCCTTACGTTTGTAGACGGATTCTGTAGGCACCTCCATTAATGTGCTTAAAATATAAGGGGCAGAAATTAGCTCTTAAAATAGCAGCTGTACAATATTTAACTTGTGTTTCTACATTGTCCTGTTGTGTGAGAAAACTGACCTTGTGCTCTGACTCATTCTGGTGTGTGTGGGTCCTTCACACACTATTGTGTCATTGGAAAATGTCCTAATTCCCTTCCTCTGGAGTCCTTCCAATCTCAGGACAAGTGCCATTAGGATGCCAGTTGAGCAGGTGCTTTTGGAATATATTTAAAATAGGAAGTTACTTCTAGAAACGTGCTCAAAACACCAATGTTGATGCTAACCCATCCCATAGGGAAGCACTGGGTGAGAGCTATTCAGTCACTCCATTTGGTGTGGCATTGCAGATCATGGGCTGCATCCCCTTTCCTCTTGTGCCAAGTCTGATTTTTGGTTCAGGTTGGGCTCTTAGCAAACTGTAGAATGGAGCTGTCTGGATGTAATCCTGGGAAAGGCTGGCAGATCCGGTTTCCTTTTTGGAACTGGGAAGCTAGTGTCCTGTTTTTGCTAACCGCTTATTGTAGATCCCCTCTTTGTGTCCAGTCTTCTAGGAGAACTCCTGCTGCACTAGCAGGGTCTTCTGACAGGCAGGGAAAGTGGTTTCAATGGTTACACCCATTTTCTAAGATCATCCTTCCCAATTTCTGAGTGAGACAGAGCTCCCATCTGGGGTTAAATGAGTTCTGTATTGGCGTGATCAGGAATGCCTGGGATGAGAGGTGTGTCGCCCTTCTCTGGCCACCCAGCCTGAGGCTTCCATCTTTATCTACAGTTCCCATGCTCCACTGGGCTCCTGTTGTCTGACCTGTCTACGGCTGTGCTTTGTTTTTTTTAATGCGAACGTGGGAGGGAATAAGACTCCAGCAGCCTCTGTATTGTTTTTAATTTGATCTAGTAATAAACATAATTAACTTCAAAACAGACAATCTCTGGACTGATTTAAATCTTTAACAATTTTCCTTGGAAATCCTCACAAGGTTTTTAATTACTTGTCTAGTCTTATTACCTATTAACCTCTTCCTAATCCTCCATTACACCCTCTCTTTACATGGCTGTCCAGTGGTCACATGACAACTTGAGTACCTCCAGTAAGAATGAGTGGTGGTTGCTGCTGTTCTATGATCAAAGAAGCTAAAGGTAGGGACTTAAGCTGTGCACCCTTAACCGTTCACCACGAGTACAGAGTGTGCCTTAACTGTTCACCACGTTGTCTGGATTTTTTTCGCCCCCCTGGAAGGATAATATGATGAGACAAGATTCATTCTGCTGCTATTCTAACTGGTTCAGAATCCAATATGCTGGTAAGATGCTTAGTTTTAGTTAACATATGAGAGTTATTGTGGTCTCCAAGGCCTCTTTTCTTACCTGCCATCTCCACCGCTCAACAAAAGGAAACCAGTCACTCAGCCCAAGCTGTTCAGCAGTCTCCTTCCTCAGGAGCAGTGTGCCTAGGCACTCTGCTGGCCGGCCAGCAGGAAGGGCGCTCTGAAGGCTGGAACAAACAATCCAGTTCTTTGAGTGAGTGATTGTCCGTGTCCATTCCACTGGAGATGTGTGTGCACCTCATGCACAGTTGTCAGAGAACTTCTCCCCTCAGCGGTACCTGTTGGGGTGGCTCGAGTGTGTCTGTCGCTACATACCACTGCCTGCTCGTATGAGAGGAGAGGTGCCCCGACCCGCCGTTAGTTCCTTCTTAACAACAGTGTCCATTGTTGAAGTACTTTGAGTCTTGCTATCGCAAGCTAGTTGTCCACATTCTGTGTACAATCCGTTTCTTTTTTCATTGTTGGATATAGCGTGTCGTTAGTGTTAGGTTTTTCGTCCCATTTGGACCAAATTTAATTCTCAGGACTGGAGTCATGCCTTGATCTCCTGGGTTCAAATCCTGCCAGTTGTGTGCCAGACCGATGTTGGTCAGTGACCTACACCCTAGCTGCCTAAAATGTTTGGGAGAGCCCACGTTCAGGACAAGTATCACGTTTGTAGAGGGTTTAAGCCTTGCTCTAAAAAAGATGGTGCAACGAGACTTGTATTTTCTTATGGAGGTGGCACTTTGCTCTCCATCAGCGCTGTTGGGTTCAGAGTGGGCTCCAAGCACAGCACCAGGAGTACAGCGTGTGCCTCCTGAGATGTCTCCGGCACTGTGTTTTGTGTCTCTCGATACCAAAGAAGAGAGACAGATTACCAAGGACACAGTACCTTGTGCAGCGAGATCTGTAGTACTCAGGCAAGCCAGAAGTGTGGCAGGGATGCTGAGAGGAAGTGTTCTCTGGAGTGCTCCTCTGCTACAAAGGGGACTTTGTCAACTCTGGAACCTGTGCCCGATTCATTGAGGACAGCCCCTGAAGTTCCTATACATCAGACCCAAGACCCAATTCTGGTACCAACAATGCTGGAAGCATACGCTGCTGCCAGAGAATTGCTTGACCTCTTGGTACCAGTGTCCCTGGCAGCATAGGAAGGGTTACTGTTGGTACTGGCAACTATGGTCCCCACACCAGCTCCGCAAGATCATGCTGTACCAATGCCGGTTCCTGTACCTAGGAGGCCGGTACATTCCGGGGGCAAGCCACCATTAACATCCCCAGTACCACCATCTCAGAGTTCGGCTTATCTGTCTCCTGTCCACACTAGTTCTGCTCCACCAGGACTCAAATCCTCTTCATTGGATTTGTAAGAGGATTTGTGTCGTGGAGTGGACGGGAAGCTTATCCTCCATCTGAGCTGGGGGGTCCGTGGATGTCACAGCAGTTGGCACATCGCAAAAGGCAATGGCCTGTGCAACCAGGGGGCCCACCACCACACCAGTGGCCTTTCTGGGTACTACAGGGTGTCCCTTCCCCTGGTAGGACATCTTGCCCATCTGAGAGAACTTCCTTAAAGGTGCTCTGAGATCAGCACCACACATCATGTTCTCCAACACCCAGTACCGGGACCAAGGAACTGGAAGTTACTCGGACAGCTCCTCCATGGCAAGAGGCAGACCAGCCATTGCCTCAGCATCCTGGTGCATCTTCTTCCTCATCACCAGACAAGGCTATAGAAGTGATGAGTGATTCACCACCACCAGAGGATTACAAGACTCACCAAGAATTGCTTAAAAGGGTGGCCTCGGTTTTAGATGTTAATGTGGAAGAGGTCTGTAGGAAATACCACAGCCTAGTGGAGGGCCTTCCAGAGAGGCACTTCCAAATAACACAGAATTTCTGGAATCCGTTAAAACACTGGCAAACCCCTTCTTCCCTCCCACCCATGGCTAAATGGGCAGAGGACATATGATGCCCCTTCTAAGGGCTTCGAACACTTCTACTCTTCCCCCGCCTCCAGGCTCTTTGGTGGTGATAGCAAGTGAGTGGGAGAGGCATGGACACCAAGCGTTGACACCAAAGAGTAAAGAATCCGAGGCTGGACTTCTTTGGCCATAAACTATTCGACAGGAGCCTACAGCTAAGAATTGCTAACAAGCTCTCCTAAGGGTACGTCTATACTTACCTCCGGGTGCGGCCATAAGCAATTGATCTTCTGGGATGGATCCCAGAAGTGCTCGCCGTCGACGCCGGTACTCCTGCTCCGCGAGAGGAGTACACGGAGTCGACGGGGGAGCCTGCCTGCCATGTGTGGACCCGCGGTAAGTTCGAACTAAGATACTTCGACTTCAGCTACGTTATTCACGTAGCTGAAGTTGCGTATCTTAATTCGAAGTGGGGAGGTTAGTGTGGACCAGGCCTCAGTCACTACAACTTAGTCCTCTGAGAAGACCTCTTGAAGTTGAAAGGCTACCGGAGGACTCCAGGAAAGAGTAAGCTTTCATGGTAGAGGAGGGCAAGCTGGTGGCAAGGACAACTCTTCAGGATAGTTTGGATGTGGCTGACTCATCAGCTCGATCCATGGCATCCACCATATCTATGATAAGGTGTTCATGGCTGCAGTCCTCCGTTCTCCCTCCTGAAGTACAGCAGACATCCAGGATTTGCCATTTCAGGGACCGTCCTTGTCAGAAAAGACAGATGACAGGCTGAATAGCCTGAAAGATAACCGGGCAGGACTGAATTTGCTTGGAATTTACACATTGGTGACAGAGGAAGCAATTTTGGCCCTAGCAGGCTCACAGATATCAGAGCTTTATTTTTCTGTCCCAAGACCTGCCAAGAAGAAGGGGCAGGAATTACATGAGGGGATCACTCATCTGCGACAGCAGGTTCCTTTCACCCAGCGTCCCAGTCTAAAAACTTGCATTTTGACGGGTTTGTCAAGGGCAGTATGCCCATACTTGTAGAACACCTTGTTCCTACCCATATTTTTGCGAAGTGATTGTCCCACCTCCTCTGTGCTTGGATTTGCATCACATCGGATCCCAGGGTCCAAAGCATGGTGGATATGGGATATTCCCACATGGTTATCCTAATTTTCATCATTCCTTCTCTGGAACAGGGTGTCTGGTTTGCTGCCGTCGGCTTAAAGGATAGTTATGTCCATATAGTGATCCATCCAGACCCCTCCGCAGGCTTCTCAGGTTCATAGTGAATGGAACTCTTTACCAATTCACAGTATTTCCATTTGCTTTATCAGCAAAGTACATGACTTTGACTATATATCTGAGGGAACTGAAAATCAATGTGACATGGATGACTACTTGGTGAAAGGTCCATCCCCGTCTCAAGTGCTGTCCTGCATGGCCGCCATTCAATCCACTATCAATGCACTGGGAGTTAGGGCGCCCGGGTCTGATTTAATGCGCTCTAACTTGCAAGTGTAGCCAAGTCCTAGTGTTAACAGACAACAGAGCTACAATGTTTTATATAAACAGAGGGAGGAGCGTGTTTGTCCCAACTATGTCAGAAGGCAATTCTACTCTGGGAGTTTTGCATAGCCAACTCCACCTCAAAGCAGCTTACCTCCCAGGAGTGCAGAACATGTTGGCAGATCACCTAAGCATGTCTTTCTCCACTCACCACAAGTGGTTGCTGCATCCAGATGTGACCAGGTCCATCTTCCAGCTGTGGGACCCAAGTGGACCTGTTTGCAACAAAGACCAACAGAAAATGCCATCAGTAGTTCTTCGAGTAGTGTCCCTATGGGTGCTCCACTGCACCTTTGATTGGAGATTTCATAGCAGTGTCTGTTCGGCCCATGCATGTGTGTCACTCAGCCTCTTGCCCATGCCGTTGCTACATAGCAGTGTGTGAGCCAGCCATCTTCAGTTCTTTCTCAATTGCACTGGCTTGAGGAGGACCTTAGCTAGTTTTCTGAATTGAGTTTTGCCTCATGGTCCTGCTGCATCTTTTGCCTTAGGGAATCTCATATTTCCCAAAAGTGCAACTTCTGTCTGCAGTCTAAAATCTAGAGCCAGAAAGAATAGGGATCTAAAACTTTGACTCCTTATGAAGGAGAGCTTGCTGCATCCAACCTCTGTCCCAAGCCAGGAGCACCCCTGGTACATTGGTCTCCGAGTAAGTCAACTGCCTCTTCTCTCTCTGAGCCACACTCGTCAAGGACATCTCAGAGGAAGCCCTAAGATTCCTCTCATAAGTCTTCCAAAGTCCGTGCCCCGAGTTCTCCAGGCAGGGAATCTACCTTGAAGAAGTCGAAGTTGTTAGCTCCCCTGGATCCTATCAGTCTCCAGTACGGTAACCAGAAGGTTGCTGGTTCCTCAGGTAGCGAGAGCTCTGGTAAGCAGAGAGACCCTAAAATATTGGGCTCCAAGAGACCATCGGTACCAACAAGAGACCCCAGTAGCAAAAAGAGCTCTATCACGGTACCAAAAAAGACCGCTCTGGCTCCATGTGGATTCTCCCCAGAGCATTCAAAACTCACGGTACCATTGACTCCTTTGGCTACTGTTACTTCATCTCAAGCCGTGGACACGGTACTGACAATGCTAGTACTGCTAGAATTCTGGTTTCCCCAAGACCTTGCAGT